TTCAATAATCTACATGTAATCAGCACACGGAATCTGCAAGATGCCATTTGCACAGATCCAGGCTCTTCCCTCCTGGGGTGGTGTAAACGTCTACACTAGAGCCAAGTGAGTACAATCAGAGCAAAGCAGATGAAAATGAGTCATATGGTTTGCATTTAATAAAGTGGAGACATCAATTGTTTCAGTATCTGATGGTCTTTGAGGCAAAACATTAACACACACACACACACACACACATTTTATAGCTGGAGATACAAACTTAAATGCACATGGTGAGATCAGGGCCCAGCTGGGATTCATCTTTCCAAACTAGCACACTATTCATTGGAAAATATGGGCTTCCTTCCTACCAGATGATGCCCCTGAGTTAGCACAAAGACAGTGCATAGATGCTGGCTATTGCTTAGTCTCTTCTGCATGTGATAGTGCTCCTCTGGAAATGCAAGGAAATCTGTCTTTTGTGATTAACAGAACTCACTTTTCACCTGGCTGGGCACAACAGGGTTTGCAAGAAGGCTGGCATGATCACATCACTCACAACTAGGAAGCTGCAGCAAAATCAAGGAATGTTCTGAACCATCCCTTCCATAATTACAGGCTTGCACACAGCTGGGAAAGCCTTAGACCATATCCCATAGACAGCTACTAGTCTGTCTGGCTCTCTCTCTCACACTCTCTTGGGTGTCTTTTGGACCTTTGTCCCTAGTTCATTTAGGGCATATGTGTTGCAGCAGAAGGTTTCTGGTAAAAATTAGTATTTGATACTGCTTAATAACCCCAAGGATCAAAAAAGGGTACAAGTACATAGACCTTTTGACACTTCAGTGACCTAAGAAGAAGAAAGGTAATTACAAAGGAATTTCACAGTCTGTGCTTGCAGAAGCACAACTTAAGGGGTAAATCGGGGCCCACAAAGTGATGCCTGGCAAGTGTTTTTCAAATGTGGGCAGGGTCAGGTGGGGCTATTGTCTAACAGTTCCTGAATGGCTGTTGAACATCTGAATAACTGGGGAGATTAAAACAAAAACAAACACTGGTCCAGTAGCAGCTGCAACACAGCACACGGATCTTCACTGTGTGGCTGAAGGTAAGCAGTGTGTAAACAAGAAAATACTTTTTATTTATTTAAAACATTATTAACCACCTTTTTACCTTATAGGAACTCAAGGCATCTTACAATGTAGATAATAATAAAATACATAAAATAAACAAAAACACTAGTTAAACTTTTAAGCACCGGACTCAAACTTTGCTTCAGACCAACATGGCTGCCAACTTTGATCTCTCTTTTTATACAATACGTCCATTTTAAAAGGCACACTGCCAAGCAGAGCTTCTGCCTGAAATGCTAAAGAGTTACTATTAGAATTATGCATAAGCCCAGGGCTTTTTTTGTAGAAAAAGACCAGCAGGAACTCGTTAGCATAATAGGCCACACCCAACAGCAGAAACGTATTAGCATATTAGGCCACACCCCTGAAGGCACAGCTCATTAGCTTATTAGGCCGCACCCCCATGTTACCAGAAGTGTGGACATCCAGCCACACCGACCTTTTGCTTCTTATTCTGTTTACCTTGTTTGTTGTCAAAGCCCAGGGCTTTTTTTGTAGCAGGAACTCCTTTGCATGTTAGGCCATACACCACTGTAGCCAATCCTAATGGGTTTCTGCTGTTGGGCGTGGCCAACTCGGGAGAGAGCCGGAACTCCTTTCCTGTGCGTTCCTGTCCAAAAATAGCCCTGCATAAGCCTGACGTTTTATGGACGGCTCCACCTCCTGCAGCAGGCATTTTGTGGTTGCACTCACCACTCTGTCAGAATTCCAAAAGTGTCTGCAGGCTCAAAAAGGTTGGGGGCCTCTGTGGTAAATGATAAGAAGCATACTGTGTGTGTGTGTCTGTGTGTGTTTTGAAGAATCCAGCTATGAGGAAATGTTCCACTGGGTTTCTTCTCTTAACAGGACAAGCTACGTTATGAAATATTACCTCATATTTTTTAACTTAATGTTAATTTAATGTTAAAGCCAACTGATTGGTAAGTGTTCACTGTTGATTAATATATCAGTTACAGTTCAAGTCAACAAAGCAAGGGAACTGTACTTACTTTTTTGACGAGATTACGGGCATGTTTAACCTGGCATCTGCAATTTAAAGAAGCATACTTTTGTATTCTGCATAAAGCGTCAAAGCACGAAACAGTCTGGATATGACCTTCAAAGAATAATTTCATACTAGAGCAACTGCAGCACACGAGTCCTTTTCTCCTGAACCGACATTGTTTGTTTGCCCAGTTGTTAATCTAGATGACATCTTTGCACAACCATTGCACCCCAGTGTTTGTTCTTTTCCCCATCCATCAGTTTAAAGATCTGGTTTGTATGTTTCCCCCCTGATTTTTAACATAACTGCATCACCAGCCTTTCCGTGCGGACAGGCAAAGTGATGATGAAGAAAAGCGGTAAAGCCATTGGATCAAGCCCTGCTTTTCTTCTCTCTTCTTGCCCCATATGAAAACAAGTGCTATTTACTATTGGCATTATGGACAAAAGGGCTGGCTGCATATGCCCTTAGGAAATAATTACAATAAAACCGTCCACCCTACTCCTCTTCAGAGTAGCAACAACAGTGGAGGTTTGGGGAAAGGGGGTGGACAGATGCCCTGGAGGACAACAAAAGCTGCTGCACAGCTTCCCCTACCTCTGTAACCCAGCTGATCTACCACAGCTGCAGCCTCAGCTGACCACCCTTGGCCATGTTGCTGCAGACACCCTAATCCTGCCTCCCCAGCTAAACACACACACTAAACACTCACCCCAGCCAAGCACAGGTCACCCTGACAACAACATGGAAGAGGGGAGAATGATGTAAGCTGCTTTGGGTCCCTATTGGGGAGAAAGGTGGGGCTCCAAAAGGAAGGAAATAAATAATAAACCCTTGGGAGAGGAGAGGCGAGCAAGAGATGGCTTGGGGCACAGGAGCACACTTGGGCCTGAGATGATGGAAAGCTTTGAGCTAATGCAGCTGGACTGTGGATGGGGTAGAAAAGAAGTGGGAGTGCATGCGCGGGAAAAAGGCACCTGATAGCCACCTCAAAAGTGGCACTATAATACCCTTGCAGATAAAAGTTTTGTAAGTTGGCCTCCCTTTTCACCTTGAGGGGCAAGAGAAGCCAAGTTGCGCTGCTGTGCTACATGGTACTCTCCCGGCCATCACAGTTTGAAAGGCTGAGAGAAAGAGAGAGCAAAGTGTATAATAGTTGGACTACAAATCTACCTTGCCACTTAACAACCAGTGCTGGTTCTGAAATACCATATTCTGGTCGACTTCTTGAAAGAATACCTTTCCCAAAAAAACCCTTAAAAAAGAGAGAACAGATCAGTGTTACTAAAAGCCAACAATCTAGTTCAGCATGCAACATAAACCTTAACTGGATCTCAAGAAGACGTACAAGTGATTCAGAGTTGCATCTTTAACATTCTGTTAATTTTAAGAACTGGGGTTTCCTCTTTAAACTCCAAAGTTCCCAAAACTCATTAAAGCAAACCTACAGTTATTTTGAGGAGCTGTGGTGGCTCAAGTGGCTGAGAGAAAGAGAGAGCAAAGTGTATAATAGTTGGACTACAAATCTACCTTGCCACTTAACAACCAGTGCTGGTTCTGAAATACCATATTCTGGTCGACTTCTTGAAAGAATACCTTTCCCAAAAAAACCCTTAAAAAAGAGAGAACAGATCAGTGTTACTAAAAGCCAACAATCTAGTTCAGCATGCAACATAAACCTTAACTGGATCTCAAGAAGACGTACAAGTGATTCAGAGTTGCATCTTTAACATGCTGTTAATTTTAAGAACTGGGGTTTCCTCTTTGAACTCCAATGTTCCCAAAACGCATTAAAGCAAACCTACAGGCATTTTGAGCACAGAGGTGCTCTGATATGAAACAAAAGTTTGCCTCCAGCTTCCACCAAACTGTCTGCCCTTTCTTACATTATGGGGGACTGAGACTTTAAATCACATCTACAGCAAGCAGCAAAGGAGAGGGAAGGTAAGATGGAGCAGAAAACTAATGAAACAGAGCAGATCCATGTTTCATCTGCACCACTATCTGGCAAGCCTATTTGGAATGTCCAAACCAATGTAGTTAGCCTAACTAGAATGCATTCTCAACTATTCAAATGAGAATAAAAATGTTCATTAGGTTAACTGCTAAAAACTGTTTCATTACCCAAAATATCTTAACAGGGTAGGCAAAATGATTTCATGAAAAATATTTGTTACATAAAGAAATTAAGCTCTGTCATAATCCAGTGTAAATTGTTTAAAATGTCAGAGGTTCCACAAATTAGAGAGACCGAACAGATAATACTACCTTGCTATACAGTTGTGCTATATCCTCAGGATTCTTCACAATTACATTTTTGTTAATAATTTCAGCTTGGCATATTTTGTCCTCTCTCCCATAAACCCCATCCTGGGGAGCAGAAATAGGAAAAGGAGAATCATAGGATTCATAAACTTTTCTCTTCCTTCTTGGGGGACGGAAAACTGCTTCTGCCATTTTGTATTATCCTTCTCCCTCAGCAACAGTCATCTATGCAGAAAGGAAATAACATGGAATACTTTTGACACTAGTCACTTAAGTCAGCACACTTTTCTTTGAGTTGATTACACATTAATTTCAATAGAACAAAGATGCATTAGAGAATGCCAGTCTAAGTTGTTTGTGGACCATAGACATGCATGCCCCTGATTTGCCAGCAAATATACAATAACTGATGCGTATGGAGTAAGGCATCAGAACGATCCTTGCCTACAAGTCATTCCCTCTCATCTGTCATTCCCAGAGTAGCTTACATCGGGAGGGGGAATTAAAGGAGGATGGCTGCAGTTCGAAAGACCTGGACCGATTCCGCAAAAGCAGTTGTTCTGCCCTTGGTCTCCTGTTTCCCTCAGTCGTACTGCTCAATTTCCCACTATTTGCTGCGTGACCACATTTTGACCCACATCTCCGCCCCCCGATCCCCCCCATCTTCTTGATCCTTATTTTTTAGGATCAAGAAGACGTGGGGAAATCAGGGGCAGATGTGGGTCAAAATGCAGCCATGCAGCAAATAGTGGGAAATTGTACAGTACAACCAGGGGAAACAGGAGACCGAGGGCACAATAACTGCTTTTGCAGAATCGGTCCTAGTCCGAGTGTTTTTTCTGCCTCTCCCTTCTGCAGTTATATGTAGCCTAGGCCCAGATGGGGGTGTGAACTTAAGGCCTCTTGGCCCTTGGATTCCAACCAGTGCATTGGGCAGATGGATGAACCTGGTATGCATCAACCGAGGATATCATGTTTACATTTTGTCTCTTGTCTGTTTTTTATACTCTTTTGTATAAATGTGTCTAAAGGTGTATTTTAGTAAGCCATTGCAGATCCCTATCAAGGAGAAATATGGGATAAAAATATACTAAATAAACAGCATAATAAATACATGAATAGTGAAGCAACTTATTTTTATTTCTCGTGGCTGAATCAAAGAGGCCAACCGGGTCTGACATATTATAAGATCATTGAGAGGTGGAATGTTCATGAGATATGTCAGAGAGGGAAGGCAATGTTCACTCAAACTGTGAACTTCCTTCACTGTCAATTACCACATTTGAGATCAGGATAGAATTTTGCTGGTGGCCTAGCAATAGAGGAGAATCTGTGCATTTATACACATCTTTTCTTAGTACCATATGCCTCAACTCGTTTGCTTGAGGTTCCTTGGTGGATTCATTTAATAGTTCACTGTGAAGTAATTTTTGCTTGGGGACCTTTTTAATTTTTATTCTCAGCATGGTTTGGTGGCCAGCAACGCTGGTGATGCTCGAAGTTCCATCCTTGGTATTGCTCACACATTCATGTGCAGCCTAGTTGTCCACACCAAGCTCCAGCCAAGCCACATGCATCCAGACTTTTAGACAAGTATTTGACCCTTATAACCATCTAACATGTTTTGTGCGAAGACAAGCATGTGGGAATGAAGCTAAGCTGATTTTGAAAGTATGATGTCCTGCCATCTGACCTCACTTTTTGCAGCTTCCTGTTGATTCTTAGAATATTTATTTACAAATTTTACATTCCACCTTTATGCCCAATCAGGGCCACCAAAGTGGCTACAGGAAGCTGCCTTTAGACTAGCCCTGTTCATATGTTACAATGAATGCACATATATCCTGTACGTACATTGGTTTATAAGAAACAGCCAACATGCATTCACTTTGCAACTGAAACCAAGGACCTGGATAAATATTATTTATTTATTTATCTGCAAACCACGCAACAAAGCCATGAAGCCCTGACCTGGACAGCGGCAGGCTAGCCTGACCTTGTCAGATCACAGAAGCTAAGCAGGGTTAGCCCTGGCCAGTATTTGAATCAGAGACCACCAAGGAATACCAGGGTTGGGATATGGAGGTAGGCAACGGCAAACCATCTCTGAACATTTTTTTGCCTTGAAAACCATATGGGGTTACCATAAGTCAGCTATGACTTGATGCCCCCCCTAAAAGGCCACAAGGGGCTTTGTATGTAATAGCCAATACCTTAAAATGAGCCTGATAACAGATGGGTGGCCAATGGAGCATCTGCAGAATAAGGAGTTTGTACCACACATTTAGGAGCTGCGGTGGCTCAAGTGGTTAAGACGCTGAACTGCAGGCTGTGGAAGGTCAGTAGTTCAGCAGTTCGAGACCCGGGTGCCGCATGATGGAGTGAGCTCCCGTCTCTAGTTCCAGCTCCTGCCAACCTAGCAGTTCGAAAGCAAGAAATTGCAAGTAGATAAATAGGTACCACTTCGGTGGGAAGGTAACAGCGTTCCGTGCGCCTTGGTGTTTAGTCATGCCGGCCACATGACCACGGAAACATCTTCGGACAGCGCTGGCTCTTCAGCTATGAAACGGAGATGAGCACCGCAACCCTAGAGTCGGATTCGACTGGCTTTCGAGCAAGGGAACCTTTACCACACATTTACCTGTATGTGTTGAATATAACATGAGAATTATTCAATGTATGTATTTTTTAAAGTGTACACTGTACACAGATTATATATGTATTCCCTGTAACTTGTGAGCAGGTCTACTGAGTCAGACCACTGGTCTATCGAGGTCAGTATTTCCTATTCTAACTGGCAGATCTGCAGGATCTCCAGTAGAGATGTTCTATTTTTAACTCAAGATGTCTAGGACTGAACCAAGGACTTTCTATGAGCAAAGCAGATATTCTGCTTCTCAGCCACATGCTCATCCCCCTTTCCCCCGAGAACTCAGCAAATATTTCTGAAATGGTACGATCAGCAACTGCTCATTCGTAACCATTCACTGTGGTGACTTCCACCTCATGGAACAGCCTGTCAGAGGTCGCCAGAAGCCCCCTCCTCCATTATTTCACAGAATGTGCAAAACAGATATATCAAGGAAGCACTTTTATAAAGGGACTAGAAATAAGGCCCGTTGCGGAAATAAATACAACGGGATCTAGAAAGAGGCTCTGGGAGAGTGCTCTGGCTTTGGGCAAACAGTGTCAGTTTGTATGTTTGAGTTATCTGTAGCCCTCACCTGGAAAGTGGTCACCATTGTTACCCATTCTCCTCTCCCCTATGAGCTATGTTATGCAAGTAAAAATTCTAACTGCCTTGCGGGGGGGGGGGGTTTGAGGTGTGGAATGGACTGAAGTCCAATCAGCTTCCATATGCAAAAGACCAGGTTGTCGCAGCAGTTGTGGTGTGGGCGGGACCCGGGCTTTGCCTTCTGATTGGTGGCGATATATGCTGAGGAGCAGTGCCATCAGCCATACACTAAGGGAGTGCATTTTAGAATTAGAACTTTGGCACCCACTATTCAATTATATATAAGGAGAGATTAGAACAGTACTATAATGGTTCCGCTCAGGAGGTTGTTTCTACAAAGGATAATATTGTAATCTACTTTAGTGTTATATAACCTCCCTTTTTTAACTACAATGTCCTCTTTTGTCCCCTTTCTTCATTGTGATATCTTATGGCTCAGACAGTTCTTGTTGCCCTAGACAGTTTTGCGGGGGGCGGGGGTTTGCATTGTTTTCCCATTCTGTAGTCCTAGTCCTACTGCATCGTTCACTGGAGGTCTATTGAAGGGGACCTATACATATAGTTAATAATAACAACAAAGAGATTTTACTATGGAGGAGCCCTGTCAGCACAATCACCCCACATATACAACACTTTTGGGGGAAAGGAAGCTATGTATAGGTGAAATTGGCCAGGCCTGCAGCCAGGATTTTTAAAGTCAGGGGTTTTTTAAATTTCTTAGGGGGCACTGGCTAATCTAATTAAAGGAATACATGGCTCTTTCCCCACATCTGCCGCCGCTCGAGGGCCCTGGGCTGAATAGGAAGTCAGGGGGCCTTGCTAGTAAGTCAGGGGGCCTAGCCCCAAGATTCAGCTACGGCCTGAAATTGGCTTATATCAAGACCACAGGCTTCTAGCCTAGTAATAGGTCCTCTGACTTGACTCTCCAAAGAAATTCCAGGGAGGCAGCCTTACTAGTCTACTGTAGCAAAGAAAAATAGAACTCCAGCAGCACCTTAAAGACCAACATTTATTCCTGCATGCCTTTCTCAGGCGGGATTTCAGAGACAGCAGTAATTAAAGTTGTAGTCCAGGAAAACAAAAATATACATTTCATCACTGAGCAAGGAGCCCTTCTTCTAAAAAAAAATGATCACATTTTTTTTCTTCTGAAAGTTAGTGGTGAGGTGTTGAACAGACAGAACTTCTGTGAAAAAAATTACCTGAGTCATTGCCTTCTCTCATATATACACTCCACTCATAGATTATTTAAAGTAGGAAAAATCTCTTTATATGTGTGTATATTCCAGTCAATAGCTCTGAAGTCCTGTCTTGCTAAAGCAGCATACAATTTCAAAATAAATTTCGCCTTTTCAGCAAAAATCACAAAAACAAAAAGAATGTATATATGTTTGCCTTTTCACCATCCTTGTTCTGCACATCCCAAATTGTGTTAAAAAGAGCCATCCCCCTACATAGGGACAGTATCTACAATACATACAAAAGGAGAAAGGACTGTGGCTCAGTGGTAGAGTATCTCCTTGGCATGCAGAGGGTCCCAGGTCCAATCCCTGGTATCTCTCCAGTTAAAAAGACCAGGCAACAGGTGATGTGAAAGATCTCTGCCTGAGACCCTGGAGAACTGCTGCCAGCCGGAGTAGACAATACTGACCTTGGTGGATCTAGGGTCTGATGCAGTATAAGGCAGCTTCACTTGTGTTCAAATGGCTTTTGTGAAAGACAGAACAACCTGCAAGTCCCCCGCCCCAGCATGCCTAGATCCCTCAAGTACAACACCATCACGACCAGATGCACGCACTACCGGCAAGCACTTATTCAGCTCCCTCAAGATATGGAGGGGGGGAGACACAAAACCAAAACCAAACCAGCTCGTAACAAACATGCAGCCTGACGACTCCCTTCTTCCCCCAAACAAAGCACCTGCGGGCTACGGGCAGAGAACTCAGTCCAAGCAGCGATAATCTGCGGTTGATTTCCTTACACACATGGCGAACAGGAAAAAGGGCAACCTAGACTCCACAGCAGCACCGGAAGAAGGAAACGACTCCCTCACCAAGAGAAAAAACAAACCTTCATCACAATGCGCACGTCCGGTTCTTATTAAGTCTATGTGGACAAATGCGACGTAAGAATTTAAACAACATCGGCAGAATTCACATCTGTCGTAATGCTTTGAAATAATAACGCATCACCCCTCCACTGGATGAGTTTTCTCCCTCACTGGCTTAAAAAATCTGCAACAAAATGGAAGCTGAACCCTGGTTAAATATCGCCTGGAATAATAAGGCAGATAGCAGAGCTATTACAGTTAGTGATTTAATAGATACACGTTTTATTTGTTCGGCTCATAATAAGTAAGAGTTATAAAGAATAAACACTTCGGAAATTCGCTGCCAGTTTAGCCACCGCATTTCTCCCTGTACAAAAGCCAGCCCTGCCAGGAAAAAAATGCAGCCCTTTGGTAAACAGTACGATTTTTTCAAAACTCAGCAAGAAGAAAAAGAGTCTGTAAACCTGCCTGTTTTATTTGCCCCTTAATTCTATATTCCCACTACTTTGGCGTTTTACATAATAGATTTTACTATCCACATACGGGAACCAGACGTCTTCTAGAGACGCACGCACCACCGTAACTCTTTGCTTGCGCCCTTATTACGGGATGCTGCCGGCATCTGGGTTTCAAATAACGTGAGATCTGAAGGAGAAAATACCACGATATCTTTGCTATAGTCGCTCTCTCGTGCGCTCTGTCTGCATCGTTCTTCTTCGCTAGTTAAATTAAGAGAGCAATTATGCTGTTCTGGAGGAGCTGGATAATCCCCAAATCGAAAACATGTATATTTTGCCCCACGGGCTGCGTTTATGTGTGATCTGTTTTCTACTGTAACTAGAAATAAGGCCTGTTGTGGAAATAAATACAACCAGTTCTAGAAAGAGGCTCTGGGGCAGTGCTCTGGCTATGGGCAAACAGTGTCAATTTGCTGTGGTGACCTCAGCAGGGTATAATGACAGAGTCCACTGTTTTCTCTAGAGGAACTGAGCTCTGCTACCTGAAGAGCAGTTGTAATTTTGAGTGATCTCTAGCCCTCACCTGGAGATTGGCAACAATTGTTACCCAGGACAAAATTGCTGGTTTGGAGGGTGGAGTCTATGGCATTCTACCAGTCTGAGGTCCCACCCCTCTGCAAACTCCACCCTCTCCAGGCTCTACCCCTCAAATCCCCAGGAATTTGCCAGCCTGGAGTTGGCAACCTCATCTCCTTCCCAGCTAACCATCAACCTACCATTATCTGCCCCTTTGACTTCAGCTGACTTCTGCCCTCCCTTCTACAGAGCAGTTGTAATACTGAGTGCTCTCCAGCCCTCACCTGGAGATTGGCAACAATGGTTCCCTATGTGAGACTGACTGGTTTGGAGGGTGGAGTCTATGGCAGTGTACCTGTCTGAGGTCCCACCCCTCCTCAAACCTCACCCTCTTCAGGCTCCATCCCTCAAATCTCCAGGAATTTCCCATCTGGAGTTGGCAACCCTATCAGGACTGGCCCCAATGTGTTTTCTCCCAAAGGCCAAAGTAGGTGACAGGACCAAGCTTAGATGCCTACCAACAGGCACTGAGGGGAAAGTAGGATTGCCAGCTCTAAGGAGGGAAATACCTGGAGGTTTGGGGGGTGGATTCTGTAGAGGGCAGGGCGACGGAGGCATCGGCCTTCTGTCGCCCGCCTTGCCCCCCCAATCTCGGCCCGGGCGACCGCGGCTCC